AGGAGGGCTGGCTCTGCAGCTTGCGGGTGAAAAAGGCATTTTTAGTCAAATTCGGAGTATCCACATGCCTGTTGGCGCACAGCAGCGCAGGAGGTGTCCTAGGAAAGCATGCCCGAGTTGCCCAAGTTAGGAGAAGGAAAGTTCTTCTAAACTTCTCCCTTAAGCTAGCGTTTGCTTTTTCGTGAAATTGGGGAGAAAATGGGAATGCAAAACAGTGCCCGGCTGTCCAGGGAAGCAGGTGGCCCGCCTCCAGGACCTTCTCCTGCTTTTCTGTGATCCTCTTGGAGGGGAATTTACAAGAACTCTTTGAAATAGGTGTACTGAGGATAGGAATTTATTCTTGTTTTTATTTTATTGTTTTTATGCTGTATAACCAAACTTCTGCTGCAGGGCCTGTCTTCTCTGTCTTTAACTGCATTTTGTTTTCTCTTGTGCACCCTACATTGTATTTGATTCGTTCCTGGTGACTGATTTGGCTGTTGCTGCCAAATGGGATAATAATTGAATGAAATATTTTAAAGAACACACTTTCTCTATTTTTAAACATGTGTGAGGTCTGTATATTCTCACTGAGTTTTGAAGTAATTCTGTGTAGTGAGCAAACTGAAGGCATAGGTTGTGATTTTTTTTGTGTGTGTAAACTTCTATTTCCAGTGAAGCCTATTTCTGTGAAATTTTATCATAAAATAGCACCAGGGAGGGGCAGAAAAGGGAATGCCTCTTGAGTAATTTCTCTGGGCCATGCCAAATAGTTGACATGCTTCTAGAATGGGGGAGAATAATTAACAGACTTTTCTACAAGATGCTGATGAGGAATTTCTCTCATGTCAAGAGTGTAATTAGCTTGCCTGCTGCGGTGCCATTAAATAGCAAATGATAATAAGACATATTCTTAGACTACAGTAAGTGTGTAGTGATAAAATGGTTTTCTCTGGCTTCAGAATCCTGGGCAAAGAATTTCAGAATGAAAACAGTGGCACCAGCTTGTTAAAACATGCAACATATTGGCAGGGCAAGGTTGTGGGCACGTTTGTGTGATTTTGAAACAGTCTCAGACTGTATTTCCTGGACAGGCTCCTTCTCTCAGCGTTGGGCTGTTTAATATGTTAATGACTTCTGTCCCACACGGAAATCTCATTTGGGGACAAAAAAAGGAGTTCTGAAAGCTGGAACTAGGACTAACTTAATTTGCTTGGGGGAGGCATATGTAGATATATATTTCTGAACAAATGTATTTATATACACACACAGAACAAAATAATTTTGTTATTATCATAAAGTACTGAAAATGTAAATATTCAAAATGTGTGTTTTTCCTTTTGCATATTGCATATATTTTCCTCTAACGTATACTGCACCTTGGCTAAACAAAAGATTGCAGAACAGTTTGAAAATTTCCTGAATTAATGCAGTGTATTAGATGGTTGCTACCAAGTCAGTGACTTTCATGCATCGTCAGGTCTGTTTAGCACACCTACTTCAGAACTCAGCCTTTTTAAAAATTCAATATATTCAATAGAAATAGGTATTTTATTGAGAAAGAAATGTGTCATAGTAATTCACGGTTGAATGTGCTGGATATGGCTGATATGTAAGCATCAGTGTAGTGTTCGATTTTAGCAAATCTTTGGAGCAAAAAGGACCATCTAGCCAGTGTTACTGGAAAATCCTTTCTTAAGCTTTCATTTCCTCTTGTTACCTGAGATGTGCAGTTTGAGCATTATGGATAGTTGTTGTTAGGTATGAGCAATATTATTTGCATCTTTTAATCACAGCCACTTATTCTCACATCAGAGGGAATATATGAAGGAAGAAGTGGAGGAGGGTGCTGAAGATGAGGCGACTGAATCGGAAGAAGACCCTGAATTTGATGAAGGAACTGGATGCCTTTCCAAAGGTTCCTGCCAGCTACGTAGAGACTTCAGCAAGCGGAGGCACAGGTAGGTCTGAGTTGTTGGTGTGATTCATGTTGGCTATTGACTCAGTTTAGCATGTTATTTTGGGGAACAGAAACTCCTATAGGAGAAGGATGGGCATCTGTGTGTTTGAAAATAGCCAGGGTTGGTATCTTGATTACTTTTATGGTCTAGCAGAGCTGGTCTCTTGTGCAGATGATGACACGTTATCTTCTGTTAGGCAGAGTTATGTTCATCTTAAGTGAGATTTTTGTCTGTAACAAGTAATGCTCCAGTGTAAATGTGCACTGTAAACATGTCTGAACAATTCCAGGTGAAGTACACTGTGCTAAAACCAGACTAAAACTCCTTGTTTGTGGAGTCTCACTGAGTCCTACTCTTTTAATTGTACAAAGCTTCTGGATGAGACCCTTGGAAATGCAGACTGCATTCAGCACTATCCTTCCAATAGATGGAGATGAGAAGAAACTTGTCGAGAGGTGCCCAAGACCTGGCTGAATTTAGCACCAGGATGAAGAGCAGCTTTCCTGCTTTTTGGTTTCAAGATGCAGTAGACTGAGAGAATAAGGGAAGCTCTTTGAGGAACTAGACACTTTACTGCAGGATATGTGGTTTTATTGTCCTTAGTAGTCATTTATATCTCAGTATCACAAGTTAGAGTTCCTTGCCCAGCTTATCCCAGTAGCATTATCAATAGCAATATAGGATTGTGTTCAAATTTCATAAGGGCATAGAATATAGTATTTCCTTATATATTTTCATTCAGAATTAAAGCATTAGGCTTCATTTTTGGCATGGTAGGGATGGAGACATGCTGAGATTCTCTTTTCAGGCTGTGTCTTAAAACTCCATTGCAAAAGAAAACTCAGACTCACAAACACACTGATTTTTGTACCTTTAGATTTTTGGCTTGTGCTCTCAACGGGCAAAGCCTTCACAAAAGGACTTCTGAAATTCTGAAGACACTTTTTCCAGCTCAAATTCACAAATACCGTTGTTTACCCAGAAAGCAGCAACTACTGTAGTTACTTTCTGGTAGCTTTTGGTCATGTGGCTCCAGCTGTCATGCTGCTTAGCTGGGGTGGGTCTGTCTTCCAGGGCTACAAGAGCGAATTGATAGCCAGAAAAGTTAACAACTGATCAGTGCATCTGCTTTCCTGGTATAATGCATTGACATGAACACTATATAAATGATCATACACATATGGAAACCTTCAAGTGAATGCTTGGGCTTGAAATATTATTGTCTTGACCACATTCAGGGACTTCTTTTCTGATCCTATAGAAAGAATTCTAGCATTATTCCCCATACAAGTCTATATAAAGTCTTGGAGCCTATCAACAACAGGCTTGTTTTTCTCAAGTTGCCTTTCACAGAGTCTGTAGAAGTCAATGGAAGGCAGGTGGAAAGCAACTGTTGTAAATACGCTGTAAAAATCAGTACAGTGCTGCAAAGCTGAAGTTTTTTTCAACTCAAAGCCAAGATTTAATAAAAGGCGTATAGCAAGTGCCTCTGTACAACTCTGACCCTAAGTGTGGTGGGATAATCTTCCCTTCACACATACAACTTCGTAAGCATGTTGAACAGGTTGCTTTGGAGATCCAGAGGACACATCTAGCATTAGAATATACCATTTAACTTTCCTAATGATCATTTCAATTTGGTTCTTTATTTCCTCAGCTGTTGGTAGAATGGATAGCTACTCATTTCGTATCTCTAGAGGAGTTTTTTTCAAATACTGGGTTTGGCAGTTCTGACTGTGTTGCTGCGTACAAGTAACATAATAAGGGCTGCTTTGTAACCAAACAGTGAATATAATGCATATTGTTTGTTTGCTGTTTTCTTGTCTCTGAGACTATATATATTTTTTTCGTTGTTGTTTAAAAAAAAAAATCTCAGATTATTGAGATGTAGAGACTTGAAGGGATTTCAAGATGGAGTTATTCCTTCCTTGATGTTTGAAACTAGAACAAAGTTCGTCTAGACTTTCTACAGAATTTGTCTGCATTTTGTTTTATATGTTCAGGAAAATCTAACCTGTTCTTAAAGCCGCCATGATGGGGATTTCACAGCCTCTCCATCAGTCCAATATCTGACTGTGTTTAATATAAAAAGACTTTTCTTGATATAAAGAGATTTCTTGAAGTAGTCTCAAACTGATTTAACGAGAGTGAATGGGGTTTTACTTTTATCTAAGCTTTTTCTAACCGAATAGAAGCTCTTAACTGAATACTGGAAACAGCAACAAACTTGACCTTTACCGTATGAGAGGTCTTGTTTTGATTCTTGAGAGCTAATCTTTCACTTCTTTAATGAAATGTCGTGTCTTTGCTACTGGGTAGCATAATTTCAGGGAATTGTTATGAATAAAATAGGTGGGAAATTCACATTATTCTGTTGTTTCAGTATTTGGAAAAGGGAGGCAGTACTGATGAAGCTCCCATTGTCTTGCTGGCTGTCTCCTACCAAGACCTCATTGTGCCTGGCAAGAAGGTCTGATAAATTGTGCACAGCTGCTCTAAAGTCAATGGTACTTGAAAAATTAGTACTTTTTTTTGCCCTTCTATGTAAAAGCAAATGCTGTAGATATGAGAACTTGTCTATAAGAGCAGCCTATGGATTTATAAATGAATTAAAAATAACAGTATTTTACCAGTTATACTCAGTTGCTGGAATGTTATTTTTTTTCTCCTGCTCACATGTATTTTTGCTTTTTCTTCCCCCTCAGTTTCTCTAATAGCATTTACAACTATAGCTTTCTTGACTATAATGGAGTTTATGGTGTATCGGGACACATGGATGAAATATGAGTATGAAGTAGACAAGGATTTTACTAGGTAATTTTTGCTTATTAAAATTCCTTTGAAAGTTTGTTGTTTGCGTTTCAGGAAGGAGTAGATTTTAAATGTTCTATGAGTTGCAAGCAGTTAATATCTGGAATTGAAAATGAAGTAGTAGAGGAGCTTAACTTCTCTTTTGTTGGCTGATCTGTGTAAGGCCAGTTACACATGGATCCTCTAGAAGTTAATGGAGATACTGTATACTGAGCATCTCTAAATATCACACTTCTTCAGTGTGATAAGCTCTTCAAAAACTCTGGGTAGCTAGGTGCTATGGTAACAAGCTACATATACGTATATTAATTGGCTGTCGTGTATACTAGAAATACTAAAAATTCCTGTTACGAAAAAAAATACAGAATATGAGAAATTTGAGGGAAAAGTATCACAATAACAAGCTTGTGAGAAGACTTTTAAAATCAGTGGTGCAAGTGAAAACAGCAGTCTTTATTATATGGCAGTGTTTTCTGGGAACTGAATTCAGCTGTTTCTCTGCCTGATCCTGAATATCTCTTCTGTTTCTGAGGATTCTGATTGGGAAATAGACTGGGCCGTCTTCAGGACATAAGAAGAGGAAGGTGCTCAGATATTTATAGTTTGAGATTTGTAACTACTTTGCTGTCCTGATCCACTGAATTATGTGGAATTTAGTGCAGTGTTATAACTGCAAGAAAAACTACATGTGAAATATTACTGAAAACTGTGTGCTCTTAAAAAGAGGCACCAAACTTTCATCCGTGTTTTAAATGGTTCGTGTTTTTATCTGTTGGTGTAAATTTTGTCCTTCAAATGTATTCCTGCAAGTAACCTGAAAATGTTAGTGAACGTGATATGTTTCATGTTATTTATGGCCTTTTTGCATTTTTTCCTTTCCAGTAAATTAAGAATCAACATTGATATTACAGTTGCAATGAGGTGTCAATGTAAGTATTCCACCAGGGAAAGGTTTTTAAGAGTATTTTGACAGTGACTTTTTTTTCTGATTTTGCTAACATGATTTTTATATCTCTGTTGAAAGAATAAAATTGATGTGAGATTTGGGGGGGGAGGGGCGTTTAAAAAGAAAAAAAAAAGTATTTATGCTGTCTTGTATACATCTTCCAGAACTTTAGTTTACCTGTCAGCTTCTCTCTAGCTTGAATATACTAAAAGTCTGTGGTGAGACACAAGTGATCCTCAGGCCAGAATTTATCACAATCATGAATTTAGTAAATGTTAATTTGGTCTGCTGCTTAACGGTATGTGAACCATCAAGTAATTTCATTCTCTGGATGAACATGTGGGTGCTTCCCATTTAAAGGGAACACTTCTTTTGACAAAATTTAGTAAGGAACCATTATTTGTATACACTGTTTCAGTTCCTCATGAGAGACCCAGTGAGTGAATACTCCTTTTATCGGGCATGAAAGCAAAGCTTAAAGAAGTTCTTTTTTGACTGTATTAAACCTTGAATTAATTGTACAGCACTTACATTTGTCTCGGGAGTTTTAATTCACATTCTCTTCATTTAAGATTTATATATTTAAATACTCTTCTACTTAGCATGAAAAAGTTTGGAAATTCTATTGTTAATTATGAGAAATAAATAATACTTCACCTGTTTTGACGAGTGTTGGTTTAGATTCAGTGCTTGTAGAACAGGTGAATTATTTAACTGCACATAACAGATCATAGAAATCTTGCATATTGATGGATCATATAACACCCTGAAACTGTTATGTCCATTAACTAGTAGAATTTTTTGCCTTGTAACTGCAGAGCAGTCAATGATATTTTGAATTTGATTCTACTTATTGAAAAGTAATATTCTGGGATTTTGAAGATGTGTGTTTCTCTCCTTCTCCCCCATTACATTAATCTCCCCCCCAGTACATTAATGTTAATGTACTTGTTCCCAGACTTGTTTCTCTGCAAGGGCTCTGTTAGCAGGCAAAATAGATTTTGCCACGCTAATTTATTTTGAAAGTTTACTTCTGGGTTTAAAAAATGCTCTGGTATTTGATTTCAATATAATGTTCTTCGGGATCATCTATGTGCCTCTGAATACTTGTTTCCCTATTTGAAATAGATGTGGGGGCTGATGTTCTGGATTTAGCAGAAACAATGGTTGCCTCTGCAGATGGGCTAATCTATGAACCAGTAAGTTTATTTCACCCCTTTTAAATAAAGGAGATTGCTCTTTACTTGGTGTAATGCACTGCTGGGTTGGTTTGCTTGATGGTATTTTTTTTCCCTGCATTTGGGCTACACAGAATATCTCCAAGTTTTATTTTTCTTTATCACAAACTAAAGCCTGTGGATATATAAGCCTGTGCTTGTCAAGTAATACCATATGCTTTGAAATAATTATACCAAAAGAAAATACTTCATTGTTTGTAGAAAGCAGAGATGCAAGTTTGACCATAGTATCTGAACCTTATTGAGAAATAATTCTTTCTAGTTCACCCCCACGCATACCTCTTCCTACCCTCATCGGTTGTATGTGTTAGTGAGGAGGTGGGGAAGGAGCTTGTTTATTTGCTCTTCTTTGCAACATTTCCTCTTTTCTTCTGAACCTTTGTTCCTGCCATGCTGTTGCTGCTGAATATTCCTACTTGCCCTAATGATTATAATCTTAGAAGAAGCTCCATGGAGTTAATCTCTTTTTTGGCTATAGCTCTGGGTAGGTTTGAGCATTCATTGTGATTCAGTGAACTATTTTAGAGAACACTAGTGTTAACTGATTTGACACACAGTGTTTCTAGTGATAATCTTGTGCTGACTGGAGCATAAGTGGACTGGTAGCTGGAGTTACAGGAATGTTTAATGAGAGGTGACCCTGGTGTTGAACAAGCTGCTCCTGGGCACTTGTCTCGAGGATTGCTCCTCTGTTCTTTGCATTATGGCTGTGCATTAAAACCATGTATATAAATTGCACCACTCAGAATTAAATTGCCACTCACTGCTTCTTCCAGTCCATATTTAAAGATTATCCACTCCACAGGTAAAGATTAGAAAGGGACAAACTGCTAATCTAAGTTACAAAAGCTTTAGGAAAAGATACTGCAATTATAAATGTAAACAAGTGGGGAAAAAATGAGAAGTGATGAGAAATTTACGTTCATTTAACACTGAGTGTATTATCTGAAGTTTGAAGGCCTTTCCTAGACTTGACTGTGTGGTACTAAGTGTGATGTTGTTTATAAACCCTTGATTCTCCTCTGAGTTTCACAGATGGGACCAGGGTGCTTCCTGGCAGTGTGTTTTATCAGACGTGTTATTTTGTTTCAGGTAGTATTTGATCTCAGCCCCCAACAGAAAGAGTGGCAGAGGTAATGTGACTCTAAAGCACTTATATGCCTATAGTTTGGACAGTTGTTTGTTTGCATTTATTTGTACTGGAAGTGGCCTTAAGGTGCTCCAGAGTTGCATGGCAGAGCTGTGGCTTGGGTTTGGCAGCCCCTGCTTTTAATTTGAGTGCAAACCATTGTGAAGAAATTAATTCACTTTACATTTCTCATCACTTGAGATCTCTGCGATGAATAAATTATCTCACTGTAAGTTTTTTTACTAAAATGCTACTTTCTTAGGCTTTTGTAGTTAAGTGGTACTAACATATATGGGACTTGCTTTAAACTTTGTGCACAATAACATTTTTTCTCACTTTATAAATCTGTTTTATTTGCTGTCATAAGATGAATCTTCAACTGATAAATATATTATTTGAACTGTTTAAACTCTTGAAACATTTATTAAAAAAAAAAAAGAAAGAATGCCCATATGCTTTTTGTGAGGCCTGTAGAGTGCCCTTATAGCTGTGTTTGATAAGAGTTCCTGCGTTGCGTTTGGACTCCCTTGTGCAATGTCATGCCCTGGTGAGCCAGGAGATGTGTACACAGACTCATCAACAGCAGCTTCTAGTTCTAGACAAGTATTAGGTCACTCAGCTTTTAACTGGGTGTTTGAATGAGTGACAAGTTAGCTTGACATCTAAATCTCACAGCTGCGCAGTGGTAGCAAACCATGACAGCCCAATGTAAAAAGAAGACACTTTCAATCTTCTTTTTCATGCAACTTTGTGAACTGGTTGTTGGTTAAATTGTGTGTTTGATCTGTATTCTTGATAGCCCTGTAACAAAACCTGAAGCTTATTTGGCAGTCTGCATGGTTGTAGCATTTGTAACATCCTGTCCTGAACCCAAGAGCTTGAGTTACATTTACATTGATTTATTTTTAAATGGTATAAAATATTCTCCATGTTCCAACAATGCTTCTAATTCGGACGTGAATTTTTGTCAACTTTGGTATTTAAAGCCTGTAACTGTACCTGATAATTAATTGTCAAGCTATCTTCTCTTTCACAGTTAAATACTTTTATACTTTTCTCTAATCTTTAGGATGTTGCAGTTAATTCAGAATAGGCTGCAGGAGGAACACTCTCTTCAAGATGTGATATTCAAAAGTGCTTTTAAAAGTGCTTCGACGGCACTGCCACCACGGTAAGAAGGGGCTGGGTCATCTCCCCTGCATTGCCCTGTTTAGACTTAGCATTTTGTTATGGTGGGGTTTTTTGATTTGTTTTCGTTCCTGTAAAGGTTATTTAAAAAAAAAAAAAAAAAGCTTTTTCATTGCTTCTGATATCCATGATCCTAAATTCTTATCTTAAAGCTTCACTTGCTTTTTTGTGGATGTTGGAAAAGCCATGACATTTCTGAATTAGATTTTTATCAATTGATAAATTTGAGCTGCTAACATATTTCTGGATGGAAAGATTACTTTTAGGTTAACAAATATTATTTTGGTCTGTATTTGTGTGATGCTTATACATAACATATTTTCTATTAGTTAATCAGGTGATGTACAGTTTAAAATACTATTTTAACCAGCTCTTGTTTTATAGAAGCCTTCTGGCATTTCCAACCTGGTTTATAGTCTTGCTTGTTTTAAATTCTGACCAACTATTTGTTCTTGAGGCATGCTTAATATTTTCTTTTTTCTCTCAAGAACAGTTATGGAAATCTGTTGTAATTTTTCTAGTAATGGTCTATTTGAATATTCAGATGTCGAAAGTTAGTTTTGTAGCTCAGCTCTCTACACAAGTATGAACAAAAGCTTAGGGATTTCACCAAACCTGGGACAAACTTTCTATTTGTTCTTATCCCTTCTACCCTCTCTTTAACTCAAGGAGATTATGATGAGGAGAGGTGGATGGTAATGCTCTACCTTTATGCCTGGAAAAAGAAATGTAGTTCTACTTCTGTTAGTGAATATTTTCTACGTGTATTTCCTTTTTGTTTCCATGCAGGGAAGATAATTCATTACAGTCACCAGATGCATGCAGAATTCATGGTCATCTCTATGTTAATAAAGTGGCAGGGAATTTCCATATAACTGTGGGCAAGTATGTTCTGTTCAATTCCTGGAAATAATAAAAGTCATTAGTAGCAAAAGTATATACATGCATGTACTATGTAATGCTCTTTATTTATCTTCCCAAACATGTGGTTAGTATTACTTTGCAGTTTCTCCTTTGTGAGTTTTTAAAATTGAATTATTTCTTCTTGCATGCAGTGTAGTTGTAATGTATTCCAGTGTTATGAGATGAAAACCCTTGAAAATTGGTCATTTGTAAGTGTATCATGTGCCGCAGACTGCTTGTACTTGTTCCATTCCTTGGGCTTGTCCAAACTATCCTCCTTTCTGTTGGAACAGAGTTAACTATCAGGTCTAAGGCGTAGATAATCTCTTCTCACTGTTGAGATATCATAGTTTTAGAACCATATTTGAGGCCATAAATGCTAGATTGCCTTGATTTGAGATACTTTGTTATGCTTCTACAATGGTGTTGGTCTGTATACACAGCCTACAAATTTGTATTGTTTTTTCTATGTGCTGTCCAAACCTGCTGTCCTCGTTTGCCTTCCTGCCATCTGTTGCCATCAACGTATTTTATCAGACAGCATGATGAGGAACAATGTATCTCAGACATCAGAGATTTTAGCATCTACTCTGTGTTCTCCATTTTATCCCCATATGATTCCACACACTGCTGTCTGTGTGGACAGTTCTCTGATATTCCTTTTCTCTGAGCTTACACCACCTCTCCTTTTTGTCCCTACGTGTCCAGCTTCTTGAGCAATTTTCAGACCTGATTAGTTCAACCTTACCTCTGTGTCCCCATCTCTTCTGTGCTCCCACTTCTAAGATCTGCAGTGCTCAATAATCTCTTGGCTTCTCTCTGTTTCCTTTTGCTCATCTTTGTGCTTCTCCTGAACATGTTGCCCTTTCTCTTCTGGCATTTTTGGGGAGGATGATGTAGCTGACCTTCTGATTATGGTGACTCCTGTGTAACTTATTGTAGCCCCCTCTTGATTGATGGTGTTTTTCTCCACCTTACATTTGTCCAAAACTTGCATGTGTTTTTTTAAGAATTTATCTTGAGTCGAGTGAGGAAGCTTTCTTACATTATTGACTTGGGGGGAATGAAGAATGTGCGACACTGTTTTACTTTTGCACAGACTGTTTGTCATCTTTTTATTTATTTTTCTCTTGCTGTCGCCAGCCTCTGGATTGTAATTTCTGTGCAGGACTGTAAACAAGTTGCCAGACCTGAAGTTAATTTGCTTAGTCATACAGCAAGTACAAAGTGTAGAGCAAATATAATGGAGTTTACATTAATCACTTGGGCAGTTTTGCAGCTTTTCTTATTGGAGACCTTAATAGCTTTTTTAAAAAAAAAAAAAACTCAGTCTCCTGGTTTCACATGTTTTTGGCATTATTAAAAATGCAAAATGCTGGTTTTATGTAAGAAGTTTTTCATGAGTCTGTCTCCACATCACTTAGGCTGTTTATACTTGGCAGTAATAAAAATGTAATGATTGTTTACATATAAAAATATTTGGTGAAATAAATGGGGAAACTTCCACCTAGTCCTCTTTAGAAAAACTGTGTCTTTCTGTGTGGCTGCACTAAAGAAATGTTTCCTAAAGCATTTCCCTCTCTTCAGGGCAATACCGCACCCGCGAGGCCACGCACACCTGGCAGCCCTCGTGAGCCACGAGTGTAAGTTCTTCTAGCACCTTCCTATCAACTGCCGCTGTTGCTTTGAGCTGCCTGTCTTCCCCTTTGAATGCTACTGTAGGTCGAACTTCAGCTGCAGAGATATTCTAGCTGGACACCGTTGCAAAAGATGGTGGAGAATATTTTGGGGAGTGTTAGAACTCAGCAGAGAGAACCATTTTTATGCATCAAACACTATCAGTCTCTATCTTTCCGTCGCTTCTGTGGTAATGATAACGATACAGAGCAATCTCAGATGTATTTTGCCATTATACGGGTACCATGTGACATTCGCATTTTTCAGTCTATAGTATTTATTTTCTACAAAATTTCACCTTCAAAAGGTTTCAAATATCCAACTTGTGTCCTTAGAAACTTTATTTTTTTTGACTGAGTCTACATACTATATCTGTATTGCTGCAGTCCTTGATATGAGGGTGGGTTACTGTGAAGGAGAGATTGGTGTTCAGTTGGTTAAACTTGCAAATGTCTGCAGATAAATTTACATTAACATAAGTGTATAATATTGTCGAACATAAATATGTCTTTGCAAAATCGTAAATCTTTGTATTTGCAAAATTTTATGTTTCATTTAAAAACTTTATTTCATTCCTCTGTATTGTCTTTTAGCCTACAACTTCTCTCACAGAATAGATCATTTGTCGTTCGGAGAACTTATTCCAGGAATTATTAACCCTTTGGATGGAACAGAAAAAATTGCCTCAGATCGTAAGTGTTGTATTTTATGTTATATAGTGTTCCATATATTACCATTAAAATATTGTTATGTTTCACAAATGCTGTGGTTTACAAATAGCTTGTTACAATAAATTTGGTAGTGGACAGTGCATTGTTCTCCTACCTACATGACAGCTTCCATGGACAGTTTCTTTTATTATAGAATTAAAAAAAAAAATAAAATAAACTCTGTCTTAAAAGGGAGATTCACAGATCCCATTTAGATCTCATAAAACAACAACAACAAAAAAACCTAGTGAATTGACTACAAATCTAACATTCACATTCTAGACCTGGCTCTGGGTTGCCACTTCCTCACGTGTCGCGAGGGCTGCATGAAGTATTTGTAGTTGCTCTGCTTCCTCCTGTATAAATAAAGGTCTGTAGGAACCCACCTCACATAGATCCCTGTGCCTCCCCCCTGACTTTCAAAAACTGCATTTTCTACAGACCCTTCAAAAGCTACTGCTCTTTCAAAGACCGTTGGACTGTTGGATGTTCCAGCCAGGATGCAACCGAAATGTTTACATATTCAACCCTGATTTTGTGTATTTGAAATAAATTGCTTCAGTTTATTTGTTCTCTTAGGTGTTGAATGAAGAGGGAGTAATCATAAATGCAAAAATGTGCTGATTGCTTTAGAAGAATTTCCTAGAAGTCAGTGTAAAATCAAGGGAAAAACGGTAGCCAGTTTAGAAGGGCTTCCAGAGTTGTCCACCCACTTCAGTGGCTGGAATCTAATAGAGCCATTGTCCCCGGCAAGAATCTGTCTGCAAATTTCATTTTAAACGCGGAGTAGTCTGACATCAGGGGACGTTTTTATTACACGAGTAAAGTGTAAATCTCCGAGTATAAATGTGAAAAATGTGGTCTTGCCTATGGAAGCTTAACCTGTTCTTGCAGGTGATGCTGAAGTGGGCATGGCAGTGCTGGAACTCCCTGAAGAATGTTTCTAGTGTGAAAGCTCAGCTGTTGTAACTTTATTTTAAGCAGTATTCGTTTGACTTCTTTGCACATACGTGTTGGATGGTCTTTTTACCCTGTGCTTAATTCTACAGTGAGACTTGTTTTATTTCAGACAACCAGATGTTCCAGTACTTTATCACAGTTGTGCCAACCAAACTCCATACATACAAAATTTCAGCAGAAACTCATCAGTTTTCAGTGACAGAAAGGGTGAGTAGAAATAAGAAAATAATGCAGAGAAAAATCTGGTAGCGCTCTTAGCAAAATCTCAGGTTTGAAAAAATTGTACCTTGCCTCTGAAAACCCCTCAAGCATGGGCAGAGACCCCTTAGAATATCCCAGTGCACCAGATTTGTTTGCAAACAGTGTAATACTCCTAGAAAAATAGCTGTGCTTGGTGACACACACTAACTTCTCGTATTGGTGTCTAGCACCTGTAAATCTGGGGTCCGACAGTAAAACTGATAATAGTATCCAGTCAGTATTGCTGCTCCAGATGCTAATGGGGTGTGTGGGGGGGAAATCCAGATGTTTTAGGCTTGTAATGCTGAGTGTAGAGCACAAATGTTTAATTTGTTTCTGCTCCTTATCCACTTCAGAAACAAAACAAAAAGCCCAGCTCACTTGGTGGTGGAGGGCGAGAATATTGGAGAAACTAACCACACAGAAAAGCTCCCTCCCCCCCGCCCCCCGTCTTGTTTTGCCTTTGCTGTACCACTGCCTTTAGTATCTGTGTTAGGGTTGGGCTAGAATTAGCACATCTTGGCTTGGAGAGGCTTTTTATTGTGCCTCTCTAAAGGGAGAGCGTAGTTATTTGCGTGTACGGCTTTTTTTTTTTTTTTTTTGTACAGATTTACAGCAGCCAAATTCTCTACTTGGGGGTCTTTTTGTTTCTTTTGGAAGTTATCAGCCACAGCTTTCTTGATGCTCCCTGTTCTTCCCTTGGTGGCTAATTCAGATAAAGCAGCTGTTTGTCAACACACCTATTAAAATTGTTTTCCTTGGGATTGCTATGATGCAAGTAATCTGTGTTTCTCCCTTCTCTCCCATCTTCCTCCCAGGAAAGGGTAATTAACCATGCAGCTGGCAGCCATGGAGTGTCAGGAATATTCATGAAATACGACATCAGCTCCCTTATGGTGACAGTGACAGAGGAACACATGCCTTTTTGGCAGTTTTTAGTGAGGCTTTGTGGCATTATTGGGGGGATTTTTTCAACTACAGGTAACTGTCGATACTTTAGATAATTCTTTCTCTTGATACTTCCTTTTATTCTAATGTCAGTTTCTCATTGTTTACATGGTGGTTTATTGCACCATTTCATGTTTCAATAGTTGGATAATTTTGCTGTCATCTTCCTGTAAGTGTTATGGTCTTCTGACAAATGAAATTTTGTTTGCTGATGCAGGAATTTTACATGGCTTTGGAAGATTTGTAGCAGAAGTTATTTTTTGCCGTTTCAGACTGGGCTCTTACAGATCTACATCAGTAAGAAAAACTACATTTTATAAGTATTAAATAAGCAGTACAGCTTCCTGAGGATGGTGATAAGATTTTAGGGAGTAGTTGTCGCAACCTAAGGACTTGGTCCCAGTGCAGTTTGATACTTGAAATAACTCACACACATGTGTGAGTGCAGAGGTTAAGCAGCTTTTAAAAGCGGTCAGGAAATCTTAACACATTAGGAAGAGAACCTAACATATAGGAGAGGAAGACAGGACGCCTCTCTAAGAAGCTTCAGGCCAAACAGTGAAAACGCCAAGTAGTCTTTACCTTGCCTTCTGTTAGGTGTTACGGAATTGCTCCTCTAGCAAGCACTTGGCTTTATTTTCTCTTTTAATTTTTTTTCTATGAAATGCTTTTAAGGTTTCTGTTCATCCCTTCAATTTTGGGTGAGCTTTGCCAACAGACAGCGCTAAGTGAGCGGGGGAGAGGAGGGAGGGCAGGTACTTGTGTAACTGCTGTCTGGGAGACGAAAGCCTTATAGCAAAGGTGGAAGAATAAGGAAGGGTTTGAGGGAGAGAAGGAGTGGGAGTCACTTCCTGAAAGAGCCCTGGGTGACACTTGATTTTTGCCTGACCAGGTCCCGCTGCCGGATGGCCACATGAGCAACCACTTACCTCCAACTCCAGCCAACAGCAGCGGCCACTAGCGCCTCCAAGGAAAACTCTCTGCTTCCTGCCTGACAAAGAAGACAGTTTTTTATAATAAAGAGAACATTGTGCAATATGTTGAGACAGTGCTGATGGGCAGCAAAACAAATCAAGCCTCTACAAAAGAAAAAAAAAAAGAAAAACCCAAGAAACTGATTTGTGTAACTGTTTTTTTTAAGTGCACATGGCATTGGTAGGAGGTCCTCAGCCTGGTGAGATGGAGGTGGACCTTCTGCTGGAGATGAAGGGAGCAGAACACAGTGTTTATGGTCGAGCTGAGTATCTGAGGGCTGTGAGCCACTGCAGCGGCTGCTCCGTGGGGCTGTTTTTACCCAGGAAGGTGTCAGATCCCATGGGAACAAGGCGTGGATGTGTGGGAGGGCCCACAGCAGGCAAGACGGCAGGAACTAATAAAGCTGCTCTTTCCTCTTGGAGGTACCGAGTGAGGCCAGGGCTGGCCTCATGCCCTTCCTTGTGAGGGGAGATAAGCACCAGTGTGTTCTGACACAGGGAGAGATTTGGGAAAATCCTGGAAAAGAGGCGAGGGAGAACAGGGAGCAAAACGGAGCCCAAGCCCGGATGTTGGTTGCAGCAGTGGCCTCCTGAGTCCCAGTGCTGCCTGGAGGAAATGCAGGCAGGAGGTCCCATAGCCCGGGCCACCGGGGCAGGAGCTGATCCCTGCAGGGAGACCCAGTCACTTCATTACAGCCAGGTGATGTGGGGACTGTCAGTCGTTGCTGTTCATGAAGGTTTTTGTAAAAATAAAAGAGCAATATTGGTTTTATATTGTAAATATGCTACTGAGAATGAGTGCTATAAATACAGAAGGTGCTTGGAGAACCTGAGGAACGTCCTTTTACCGCTGAACTACTCGTGCACAGCAGTGGTTAAGCAGTCCCACCATGGTCAAAATTTTAAAATGTATGATTTCCTCTCAACAAAACTGTTTTAATTATGTATGTGTGTGAATATATATATATAGAGAGAGAGAGGAAGATAATGCTGACTCTGGCCTTATTCACCATGGAAAAATAAAGGTTTCTGTGGCATTGTCAGATCTTGCTGACTTCTGTTAATACTCTCTGCGAGGCTCTTGGGCCTCGGTGCTAAGCACAGTGGAAGGGAAGTAGCAGGTTTGCTGTGAACAGCAAAGAGCTTCCTGGCCTGAGGTGAAATGCAGTGAAGTAAAGTGTGGGAAAGAGGGAATGGCCTTTTTTGGCTTGGCTAGTGAGAAAGAGCAGAGTTGAAAGAAGCTGGGTCCTTGTGGCTGGTAGGTTTGGTGTTTTTCTATTACACGGTCTGTGTCCTCTCTGTCCCCCTCCTTTTTAACACTGATTAAATCAAGCAACTTGAAAAACTTTTTTTTTTCTTTTTTTTGTCTAAGTGAGCAAGAAAATCAGAAACTGTAAATCTCTGATTCCCGCTTTGCACTTTCCAGCTGATGTTTTTCCTGCTCATGCCCCGCTGGGATTTGCTTTAGGCTTTGCCCTAATGCTTGTTTCTTATCTGCCTGGAACAGGCTGTGCTGGTGGGTGGGTTGGATCTTGGTTGACTTTCTGTACCAGAGCTTCAGTGTTATTTTCTAATCCCACATAAGACTCAAGGGGCTTGTTGTGTCCAAAACGGTTTGTAGGCTACTCATGTGGCACTGAGCAGAGCCAACCCTATCTGGAGATCTAGAGATAATAGTTCATTGCAGTGATTTTTCTTTTTTTCTGTGATGTTACCTTCTGCCCACAAGGTAAATAAAGAACAAATAGGGGAAAATGAGAGGAATGAGTCTACCAAGGGAAAACTGAAATCTTGAAAGGGCCTATCTTGAAGAAAATGTGTTTCCTCAAAAAGGAATTGCACGGGTAGTTAAAGGTTTAGCATTTACTGGGTCAGGAAAGATGACCAAAATAACACTTACCTTTGATACCTAATATGATGCTGAAGAGAGACCCCTGAGGAAGACCTTGTTGAACTTCCTAGGACGTGCTCATGACGCTTTGCGTTGGCTCTGCTCCTCTCCTGATGCTGACAGGTGGTGTTGGTAAGAACAGGGTCTTGCCTGCCTGCGGGTGTTGGTTTTGGTGTAGGTTTCTCCAGGTCTCGCTCCATTCACTAGCAGCCCGGCATGGAACCAGCCCCGTGTCCGGCAAGGTGCGGAGGAAATGGAGGATGGCAAACTTGTGTGCTTCCTACCCCAGACTGGGCTATTGGCCTGTCGGCAGTCGTAAAAAGGCTCGTCCAAGGCCATTTGGTTGCAGGAGCAGAGGTGGGGAAGAGCAGATGTTCCTCAAGTGGCTCTGCTGCTTCTCAGGGCTCAAGAGAAAAGAGCGATGTGGGGTTTTTAACAGGGCAGAGCCAGAGCTGGGCACTGCTGAAAGCTCTGCAGGAGATCCCTGAAGCAGAGCAACTCCCAGCTGTATTTCTTAAAATACCTGTCCACAATCTGCTAAGTAAAGCAAGACAGAAAAGATGATGCAGCCAGACCTGTTATCTACAGAAATTCAGTCAAGGTGCCTGTTTTCTCTACTATGTAAGGATCAGGAAAATTGAGAGGCACGACGCCTCAGTGGCCAGGGGAAGGCCATGCAATGCACGAAGGGAAATGCAGCAGGATCTGGGCGGAACACGGTCAATATCAAACCGCAGAGCTGCAGGAGCCTTCTGGGGGAAAAATGATCCTGAGTTGGCCTAAGAACTAAACGCAGGTGCTGGGGGTGGCGCTGGCTTCTAGCTGGAACCAAAGCAGGGGAGTTTCAGCTCGTGTAAATGCATGGGCCAAGGGGCAGCTGCTGAGGTTAGGGCAAAAAGCTCCTGCAGGACCTTGTGGCTACTGCAGAGTTGCCTGGGAACTGTCGAGGGCAGACTGGTGTCTTGTGTAAATTCAGCTACGATTAACTGTACAGGCAAAGCCAAGGTCGGAGCGTCTGAACTCGGGGATAAAATCACAAGCTGCAAGAGGAGGTGCAGTACTTGGTGTTTTGTACGATGTATCGCTTGCTCCATGTAAAGCAGGAGCTCAGCCGAAGGGCTGGCGTGGCAGCTGCTTCCTTTTGGGCTGGGGACATGGGGATATTTCTCTAAGAGCCGCGTTCTCCTAGAGGGGCATTTTTGCTCTGCCCCACTCCTGTTTCGAGCACCCACTCTGCAGTTGTTCTAAGCTGAGCACCAGCTGCAGAAGCTGCTTGTTTCTAGCTGGCAAGTTCAGGGCAGAGGTGCAAGCAGGAGGATTTCTGCTGCGACCAGGAGAAATCGTAACCCACTTACTCTGACCTTGGCCTACGGGGTCCATTTATGCGGAGGGGGGATGATTTAAGTTTTTAGTCCCTGACTTCCTCCTCGAACTCATCATGTAGATAGAACAAGGGGAAACGGCCTCAAGCTGCACCAGGGGGAGGCTCAGGTTAGATAGTAGGAAGAATTTTTACATGGAAAGAGTAGTCGAGCACTGGAACAGGCTGCCCAGAACAGTGGAGGAGTCTCCATCCCTGGCAGCGTTCAGGAAACGTGTAGATGAGGCGCTTAGGGACATGGTTTAGCAGGCATGGTGTTGAAGGGCTTACAGTTGGACTCAATGATCTTGAAGGTCTTTTCCAACCACGATTCTATGATTCTAATGTGCAATGAAGGTACCAAGTGTTCTTTCTTTTCCTCTCCCCTGCAACAGGCATTTCTGATACTTGCTCGTGGGCCTTCACCACTGAAGGTGGGCAAAGCCAGGCTTTGCAGTCATGTTTTTATTTACAAAGGCAGCCAGAGGGATGGAGATTTATCCCCATCTTAGCTTGTACATGTGTCCAAAGCCGAGGCTGTAAGCTGAAATAGCTCTTTCAGGCTATTTCGTGTCTTCCGAGCAGGATTCCCGCTCCCAGGAGGCACACCAGCATTTTGGGCAGTTCGTGCTGCCTGCAGCCCTCGCCCAGTGGGAATCAAAGCAGCTATGCTGAATTCAGTAGAATGAGACTGATTAATCCCAAATCCAGGTCCGGTTCTATTTCTGTTCCACCGGCCCCAGGCCAAGGTCTTTAAGTAAACCCAGCCAAGGACAAAAATCAGCAGAGCCTTTGCTGTGTCAGAGCTGCACCTTGGGCAAAATTATCTGTGCAGAGTCTAAGGGCAAAGGCCCTGCCCTGGCAGCCCCTCCAGCGTTGAGGTGGTGGCTTGCAAGGCCCCAAAGGCGTTCGAACACCCCAGAGAGAGACCCCCAGAGGCCCCAGGCCGCGGAGGAGCCGCCAGGGCTGTTGGCCCAACGGCGCCTCAGCGCAGGTGCCCGGCTTCTCCCACTGGAAAGGGTCCTGTGGAGATGGCGGCTGTTCAACTGGTGACGCCTCAGTGCGGGTGCCTGGCTTCTCCCACAGGACAGGGCCCCATGGAGGAGGTGGCTGTTGGCCCAGCGGCGCCTCAGCGCAGGTGCCCGGCTTCTCCCACTGGAAAGGGTCC